TTTTTTTTGGTACCGGGGATCGCCTTGCGCTTGCGCAGCAGGCGCAGCAGGCGGCGAAACCACTGAGCTAAATCCCGGGCTCTGCAATTTACTTTTACGTCGTCCTGTGCTTCATGCAGTAGTAGCTGTATACCATTTGCCTTGCAAATTCCACTTTAAGTAGCTTGTTTGTATGTGAAAGATCTTAAAATGTTGCTTTATATATTAAAAATGCACCACAAAATGTTCTTGTACTTAACTACCCAACAAAACTTTCTTTTCCTTGAAATTGTAACTTAAAAATGCTTCAATACTAAATAATTCTAAATATGCTCAGCTTAATCAAGCATATCCTATTGAAAACCCATATATAGTATATATATATTTTTTTCTTACATACTATGTATTTTTCCTGACTATATTTCTCAATATGATAACATTCTAAATCCAGGAAAAAGAAATGTATTTTTCTTTTCCTAGAGTTTATTTCTGGATAGTTAAAACCAAATATATTAAAGTGTCTTTATTTCAAATATCAATAGGGTCAATTGATTCTTTTTACTATTTCTAGGGGGTCTTGATTTTATAGACAATAGAAGATAAATTAATTGGTCTCTTTTTTTGATTATTTTTTTAAACAGGACAGATTCCTTCTGCCATCAGATAGATGTCTTTCTGCTTGACTGAACTGCACCTGTGGTCTTTGAAGAATACTTTACACATTAGGGGTAAATAAGCTCTGAATCAAATATAATAGTTTAAAAATATGTTTCACCATTATAAATAAGTACTAGCAAAGATTGAAGCCTGGATTCTCTAGCTGGAGTTGTATTCTTTATCTTTTATAAAAAAATTGGTTGATGGAAAATGATTCCTTTTAATTACTCTTACTTATTTTTTTAGCTTGACTTAATTTTATTGGCTTAATATTTGCTTCCTGTTGTGATATTCATGTGTTTAATTTTTTCCTGGGATTATTCATAATAACAATAATCCTAAATATTTACAGGCTAGCTAATGGTAGACATTTCTATTTAATATTAAATATTTCAAATATATAGCTATGAAAATGCAATTATTTGTATGTTCTTTGCATTTCATATTCTTGGGAGTAATATGTTTTATCAATATTTATTAATATATGATCAAATATTTGATTAGAAAACATCTTTTTAAAGATCTTCTTTTATTATCCAAAACAACTTTTGTATTTAGGAAGACATTTTTATTCATATACCTTTTAAATCATTATTAAGAAATGGTTTACCTTGCAAAGTATTGTTTCTTTATATTGAGTATATAACTACAGATGGATGTCATATTTTCACCATTTATCTTAAAGTGCATAAGGATAAAACTCCCAGTTAAAGATTTAACACACATTTGCTTACTCCCAAAACTCATCTCAAATGAGAGTAAAGTAAATTAAATAAAGAAGGCAAAAACCTACAAAGAGTAAGAGAATAGCAAAGGGGACAGCTGCAGTTGGACAATTTTTGGAAGATGGAAGGAATGAAGGAATTATCAGACCTGAAAGATCTGATTATATCTTGGCTACAGAGAATTCCATTGACAACCAGTTTACATCTTAAAACTCTGGAAAGATAAAGAAATTCAGGGAGCCAGATTATTGCAGAAGATGGGTATGTAACATATAGGTGACAACAAAGGTACTTGAAGGTCCACAGAAGAAGTAGTGAAGGCACCTCTTGTGCTATGGAAGTATTTAATTAGGAAGGCTGAACTTGGGGACACCAGGGCCAGTGGAAGAAGACTTGCCTACCTGAAAGCAGGGATGAAATGTTGGATGCTGTTGGATGATATCTTCTTAATCCCACTTGGTTCTGAGAATGGCATACCCAGTTATACCATTTTCAAGAAAGAGTTTGAGGAATTTGTCTCTGAAGTGACTGCATGGTCCTTCAGAGACGACCTGTCTACACTGACATTCGAGGGCATCCTTCAATGAAATACAGTACTCTGGTTCCTAGATGTTCAATGAAGCCCTCTCATTAACAAATCCTATTTATATACCCAGAGCTTCCAGTCAGCTTTTTGTTGTCTCAATTGTAAATATGAACAGACAGCTAAGGATCACCAGATACTTGAGGAATATCTTCAATAGGAAAGAAAACAAAATATATAAATGAGACAAAGGATTTCTGAAGAAACAAATGTCGGAAGGAAAAAGAATACGTAACAGAAACTTGAGGAAAGATACTGAATCCATGAATCATGAAACAAAACAGAAACTTCAGAAAGGATTTAAATTATACTAATCTCATAAGTTAAAACTGTGCAACAGATGGGCTAGAAATGTAGGTCAATGGTACAGCACTTGTCTAGCCCTGGGTTCAATTTCCAGCACAGCAATAAAATAAAATGAAAATAAAAAAATTTAAGAATATACATATAAAAAAATTAAGCAGTTGGGGGCTGTGGCACATGCCTATAATCTCAGCTAATCCAGAGGCGGGAGGATTGCAAGTTTGGGTCAGCCTGGTCAATTTAGACCCTGTCTCAAAAATAAAATCAAAAAATGGGGTGAAGATGTAGCTCAGAACTCCTTGGTTCAGACCTAGCATTAAAAAAAAAAAAAAAGCAAAAAAATCCAGAACTACCCACAAAGAAAGTGAACTTATTTTATTACTGGTGGGAATTCTAATTGAAGCATTTCTTCCCTGATCATAAGTGCATACTTTTCACCTTTCTCCTTCTCTTATACTCATGTCTAGGTTTTATACTTTTTTGAGACTTATGATCTTTCTTCACAGCTTTTTTTTTGGAGTTGTAGAAAATATCTAGGTGTATGGAATGATGGTACAATTCTAGCTTGGAATATTTTTAGTAGAGGATTTTTGTCACATGCATAGCGCCTGTGGTTCTTAGCTTTAAACAACAAATTTTTTATTGAAGTATATGTACTGAAAAGTATATAGACCATCCAGTATGTTGTGAACTATCAAAAGGAGGGCACACCTATAAAATCACTACCCAAGACAAGAACATTGGTACTCAGGAAGCCCTACTCACAGCTTTTCCCCATCCATCCTTAGCAGATATTTTCAATTTAACTGGTAGACATAAAACTGTATTCTTTGAAATTGTATGTTTTAATTAATGACATGATGAATAAAATAGGACTTCAGTAAGTATATGATTGACTGTATTGAAAAACAGTATGTGAAGAGTTAATTATAGCGGCTTTTTCTTTTTTTTTTTTTGGTTTTATCAGTTTGAAAAACTGTGAAGCAGTCAGTCACCAGGGGGCAGTCTGTACTGCTTCCATTCCTTTAGAAACAGTTGTATGTGCCTTATGGTTGTAACTGAAAATTATTTTCCATGGAAGAAAACAAATGTTACTTCAATCAAAGAAATATTTCATTGTTCATAGATATGGTGAAAGTAGGCAAAATTATTATCTACTCCTGTATTTAAATGGCGAGAACAGATTTCTTGCTTAAATCAATGTCAACATCTGGAAGCCTAGCTTTTCTTCTTAGCCCCAGCAGAGCATCCACATTTGAATGAGTTTGGAAGCTTTTTGAATCTAAACAAGTGTCAGATAATAATTTATCTGTACTTCTCTATAATCCTCCCTTTCTTTCTTGCAGATTTTCCCCCAAATGCTGTATGACGGGAACTAGGCTAAATTGGAGAAAAGCAAGCCACAGCTTCGAATCCAACAGCTAGGGCATTTTCTTCCATCCACTGATTTCATTTGGCATTGCTTAGTGGCAGTTCCTTTTGGTAGCGCCCTGTGAAAAATATCGGAGGAAGTGTGAAAGAGAAAACTTGGTCTTCCTTGATTTCAGTTCTTTACTAATCTTTTCCTCATGCCATTCTAGTTTTGTGTAAATTTTTTCTCATTAGATTGATAAACTTTCCAGTTTCTGCATATCCCTAGAATAGATGAACCCATGTCCAGATGCTTTTGAGCTATTTTATTTCTAGTAACATAAGGAGACTGTTTCTGCTCCCCTCCCCATCCTTGCCTCCAATATAGTATGGTTTGGCTTCTTATTCTCCAGAACTTTTTACCATAATTTAATGTTATTTTACTCTTTCTATAGATAGAGACATCGGCATCTACCAGTATTATGACAAGAAAGATCCACCAGGTAAAGTATCTTTTCTACTCAATTAATTTCTATAAACTATTCTAAGCAACAAAATATTATTAAAAACATTTATGAGCTTTAGATAAATTCTAGAATTTAAACAAAATTCACTTTAGTTCTTTAGAAAAACAGTGAGGTTGTTAGCTGTCTGGTTCATATAAAATAAAGCAATATTGATAAAATGTTGTAGAAGAACATGAAAATTTTTATTGCTGATCAGGTTGATAAGAGGACAGCCTATTCAGGTTTATTTATTGGTGTCCCAGTAGAGGGCATTGTTAATGCATGGGTCCCACTCATCCTGGCCTCCTGGATCCTCATCTGATTATCTGAAATAGGCATTTCTGAGTGAATGATCAATTTTTGTTATCTGATTAATCCTGTTAATCCCAGAAGTTTTTTATGATAGGCCAAAAGGTCTCCCTAGCTAGAGTTACTTCCTAATCTGGTCTCTGTTGAAGTAGGGCTTGTTTGAGCATCCTGTGTGCTTAGTTTGGTGGTTAATAGGCTGACTTCATGGTTCTGATGACAGACTGCAGCAGCTTCTCTTCTGGGCTCGGTTGCAGTTCCTTTCCCTATCTGATGAGATCAGAAACTCAGGATATTGGTGTACCTGTTTTGCTCATAAGCCTTTTCATTGCAAGTTTAGGGAATATCTTTATGGTATAAAAACATCCACACTATGACATTTTCTCAACTATCCTTTATAAAGTTTAGTATAATTTATTAATCGCAATAATATGTGTAATAATCTGTTATATATGTACATATTAAAAATACAAGATACTATAATAAAAATGAATTCCATTTCTTTTATTTTTTTCATCTCTTCTCTGCCACAATGTCAGCGACAGAGCATGGTAACTTGGAGGAAAAGCAGAAACTAGCAGAATGTAAGCTTACTTTATAATTTTTTGGAATTATTATAAAACTAGAAAGTTCAGCATTATAAAATGTTATGATTTATGCACAAATCAGAAATGGTATTCTGTCCAAATTTCTTATAAGTACAAATTCCTATTGTTTAGGTACAGAAACTTGTGAATAGGAATTATATTTGTTAGGTCTTTCTAATTTACAACACTGGGGCCTCTGTGCCCTATTTTGGTAAGATATAAGCTTATGTAAACATAAGCTTTCTTAATGAAACATGTTTATCTTATTTAATATATTTAAAATACATGTATCATGCTTAAATTCTGATGATAACATTTAATTATTCATACTAGGCCTAAATTATTAACATATTTTACCCTTTTTAAGAAAATAAGATTTATAATTATCAATGTTTACATTTTATTTAATCCTTATCTCAAATATATAAATATATATATTAAATATGGCTGGAATATTATATGATTTTAATGACTTAAACATAATTTAAGGTTTTATTTGGAATATAGAGCTAAAAATCTCACTTGTTCTCCTGTTTTAAATGGTTGGACTGACATTTGACTTTTAAAGAACTGTATTAGTAGCTGCAACACAGATTTTAAAATTTGTACATATGTCTTGCACATCAAAATTATGTTTATAGAGCCAAATTAATTTGCTGAAATGATATATAGCAAATCTATACTCCAATTTAAAATCTGTATTACTATATGTAGATGAACACATAACAAACACTTATATACTCATTCACAACTTATTTAGAATGCAAAGATGAATTTATTTTTCTGATAAAATTGATATAATAGTTTATCATTCTCTCTCTCTCTCTCTCTCTCTCTCTTTTAGTCCTGGGGATCAAACCCAGCCCTTGCACACACTAAGCACATTGCTCTACCACCGAGCTAAACCTGTAACCCAATTTTATTAATTCTTTAAGAACAGAACTAGTTTTACTTTTTTTAAAGGGAAACATGACTCTACTAAATACGTTCATCTTTGAGTTAAATTTATTTAAAACAAAACGTGGTTACTTTATTACATGAATCATGTTATAGATTTTAAAAAGGCTATTAAAGAACATTATTAGTGCCAAATCTGTTAAAATTTGGATTCCCCTACTTTTTATATATGATACTTTAATCACATTTCATATATATATTTTTCTCACTGTATTTATTTACTCATGAGAATTTCCAGATCTGAGTGAGGCCACATGCAGAATTCTTTTTTAGATTGAGCATTCAGTTATTTACATGAAAAGTTTTCAGTGGTAAAGAGTGGGTCAGTAACTATTTTCAGTACTGCTAGATTCACAGTTCTAGCAGTTTCCCAGAGATTCTCTAAGCCTTGTTGGTTGTCATCATAAAATTATCATCAGGGAGATTGTTTTGTAGTAAAAATCCTGTTCCTATGACAAAGCCTTTTAAAAGGCTGTCATTTGATGATAGAAATGAAGCCCACTTCCTCTCAGTTATGGAGGTGTTTTATTTTAATCGTCCTAAAGCACACTGCTATGCAGAGTTTCCTTTTTAAAATCATATTTAACTAACTGGAGTACATGTTTTATTTGCCAGCACGAGATTATCCTTGGACGCTCAAAAATAGACGCCCAGAAAAACTTCGAGACTCACTCAAGGAGTTGGAGGTATCTTTCAAAAATTTTCAAAAATGGTAACAAACAAATCTGTTTTAAAATGTCTTTCAACAACTTTAATTTTCATAAAGGATCAACTCTCATGGTGATGATAGCTTTGCTTTTGTCCAGTGGAAAGTTCTAAAACAGTTGCATCTTTGTATGGCATGTTGATTTTTTTTCCTGTTGAATCAGAAGCACTTTAACTGATAATCACAATGTGTATAGCCAACTGCACTGTCTCTTTTTCTGTTGTTCCTTAGGAACTGATGCAAAACAGTCAATGTGTGCTGAGCAAATGGAAGAACAAATATGTCTGTCAGGTAAAATGGTTCGACAAGCTTTTCATTGTTTCAACAGTGGAGCTGAAAACTATGTAGTAATTGGTATTCTTGTGTTATGATAGGTGGTGAACAAAAACTTTTTAGGAGTGAATATTTCATAGTTTGAATTCTAGTCATACTGGAACTAACATGAGACAGATTGATGTAGGCTACCAGAGTATCTCATTAATCAGTGTGGTTCTGCTGACATACTATAAACACTAATAAAAAATTATTTCAGATATCATTTTTTTGTCTAAATTGTATTAGGTGTTTGGTGGCATAGATTTAAACATTTTGGGTGAAGATGTTGCTGCAGAATAAAATGTTTTTCAGTGTACCACCCTTCGTACGCATTTATGAATATGATGCTCATGGAGATCAACAAACAATTTAGAGACCTAATAAAACAAGACATTTTATCTTAGGGTTTAAACCTGCAAAGCTGTACTGTTTAATATGGTAGCCACTAGTTGTAACTAAGAAATAAACTTAAAATTCAGTTTCTCAGTTGCACTACCTGCATTTTGGTTGATCAGTAGCCACATTGTCCTACTGGACAGTGAAGATACAGGATGTTTTCATTGCAGAATATTCTGTTGGACAGTCCTATTATAGCCTACAAAAGATGATCTAGATATTAAATGGGCCTAGATATAGAACATAATCAGGACATAATAATTAGCATACATATTGGACAATTACCTTACCTTTGCTGATAATCTTAAAAAATACCATTTGCCTAGAAAAAAGTTGCTTGCTTGTGATGAAACGAATAATTATTAACATTCCATAAGTTGACATTACATCATTACTAATAATTGTAACTTATTTATGAAATCAAATATTCTGTTTCAATTTAAGTTTTTGTTTATAATGTGATATATGTGTAAACATTTTTGTTTTAAATTTAGGCCCATGATTCTATCCATAAATCTAAAAAACATAGTAATTACAAACATATCTTAATCTTCTTTTAGAATGTAGATTATCATTTTAATGAGTTGGGGCTTTTCCTCTTTTTTTTTTTTTTTGGTCTAAACCAGTTTGCCTTTATTTGTGGGGGTAGCTGTTTAGTTATCTCCTCAGTTGGCATAAGTTTTTACTTTTGAGACTGTTTACAAAGCCAATTGAATATTTTTAGAACAATAACACATTTTTTTTTTTTGGTACCAGTGATCGAACTCGAGTCCTTGCACTTGCAGGGCAGGCGGCAGAACTATTGAGCTAAATCTCCGGCCCTTAGAACAATAACACTTTTTAAATTTACCTTAAGATACTATTCAAAAGGATGTGATTGTTTTACAACGATAAATTGTTTGCATAAAAGAGTTTTAATCAAACTTAAAAACTAGAATACAAAATGTGCTCGAGAGAGTTTCAAACTTAGTGCAATTCAAACTTATAGTTCTTTTTTTTTCCATTTAGTTTATTGATTTTGGGTATACAATACAGTTACATTCGTCATTGGGATCTTGTACCTTTACATGATGTATCTTGGTTCTTATTTTTTCCCCATTCCCCTGCCCACCCTTCCCTATTTACAAAAACTTCGTTTCCATGTTTTTCCTTTTCTCATAATTTTTTCTTTTCCCTTGTTTCCTTTCCCCTTCGCCTCCCACTTCCCCTATTCCTTTAGACATTTTCTGCCTATTTCACAATATCAATTATACATTTTGATTCTTATTTACAGTTTTAGTTTTTCACACCAAAGAAACTATTCAGTATTTACACGTGCCCTATTTATTTCACTTAAGAGTGTGGCCTCAATGTGCATCCACTTAGCTATAAATGTCTCTGTTTTCTCATTCTTTATCGCTGAGTAGTACCCTGTTTTATTAAAAACCCACATCTTTTTTATCAAGTCTCCAGTTGATGGGCAATTGGGCTGTTTCCAGATTTTAGCTATTACAAACTGTGCTGCTAAAAACATAGGTACACATATATTACTGTGGTATGATTCTTTTAATTTTTTTTGGAAGATACCCAGTAGAGGAATAGCTGGGTCAAATGGGACTTCCAATCCTAGTTGTTTGAGGTATCTCCATGTTGATTTCCACAGTGGTTGCACCAGTCTGCACTCCCACCATCAATGGAGAAGGGTTTCTTTCTCCTCACAACTCCACCAGCATTTGTTATTGGTTGATTTCATGATAGCAGCCATTCTTTCTGGGGTGAGGTGGAATCTCAGCATTGTTTTCATCTGCATCTCTCGAATGACCAGTGATGTTGAACATTTTTTTCATATGTTTATTTGCTGCTTTTACTTTTTTGAGAAATGTCTGTTCATTTCAGATGTCCATTTTTGAATTGGGTCTTTGAATTTGGGGGGCCTGATTTTTTTGAGTTCTTTATATATTCTAGATAGTAGACCTTTGTCTGAGGAACAGCTGGTAAAAATTTTTTCCCACATTGTAGGTTGTCTCTTAGCTCTGTTGGTGGTTTCCCTTGCAGAGGAGAAGCTTTTTAATATGAGATCCCAATTGTTGATTCTTTGTGCTAGTTCCCGTGCTACTGAAGATTTGTTCATTAAGTCCTTTCCTATGCCAGTGTCTTCGAGAGTTCTACCTAACTTGTCTTCTAGCAAGTTTAGTGTTCCTATTTTAATATTTAGCTCTTTAATCTACTTCGATTTTAGTTTAGTGCATGGTGACAGATAGGGGTCTAGTTTTAATCTTTGGCAAGTTGAAATCCAGTTTTTCAAACACCATTTATTAAAGAGGCTATCTTTCATCCAGTGAGGATGGTTGGCTCCTTTGTCAAAGATCAGGTAATTGAGTGTGTCTGGAGTTGTTTCTGCATCTTCTAATCTATTCCACTGATGCTCGGGTCTGTTTCTTTGCCAGTACCGTGCTGTTTTTATCAAACTTACAGTTCTTAATGCCATTACTCACCTTAAAAATAGGCTCAAAATGATTTGACTGGAGGGCAGGCCTACTAGCTATAATAAGAGGCATGTCTTATGGCCTCCACCCTTCCATCACACAGGCTAAGTTGGAACATGTCAGGTATCTTAAAATATGCAGTAGAGCACCCTAATAGACAAACTTTTTTAGATAGACTTCATTGCCTTTTCACTTAATACCACGTTGTGGGTTTATCTGGGTGGGGGGATGTTAGAGACACAGGCCCTAACTATTAAATTAATTCAATCAAGAAAAAGAATTTTCATGATAAAGTGTATACAAAACAACTTTTGTAATTTACACTGATCTGACATATTGGTTATTTAGTCTGGTAAACCTACTTTCCTTCCTTCCTTCCTCCCTTCCTCCCTTCCTCCCTTCCTCCCCCCCCCTCCCCTCTCCTTCCCTTCCCCCTCCTTTTCTCCCTTCCTCTCTCCCTCTTTCCCTCCCTTCCTTCTTTCCTTCATACTGGGGATTGAACCCAGGGCCTTCACACTGAGCTATATCCCCAGCCCTTTTTTATTTTTTATTTTGAGACAAAGTCCTGCTAAGTTACTAGCATGCCCAGGCTGGGCTCTAACTTTTGATCCTCCTACCTCAGCTTCCCAGAGTGCTGGAATTACCAGCATAAACCACAGTGTCCAGCTTGTGCTTTATTTCTATGATGGATAAGATATTCCTAAAACAGACCTTTTATTCCCAGCATATTTCTTATGTAATATATTGTAACAAGATTATTTCTGCCCTCAGATCCAGGTCAATCCTTAGATCTTCAGGGCCTTTGAGAGACCTCTAACAGTATTCTTCTATTTCTTTAGTTTCTAAACAGGACTTTTAGCTAAGTCTTTTAGAAATATGTGAGTGTTCTATTTCTAAAGAAATCTAATATTAAAAACATATGCTAATATTAGAATAAGTTAAAAATTTGATATTCAAGCTAGATTTTTAAGAAAACAATCCTCGGGCTGGGGCTTTAGCTCAATGGCACCACACCTGCCTTGTAAGAGCAAGGTCCTGTGTTCGATCCTTGGTACGAAAAAAAAAAAAAGAAGAAGAAAGAATCCCTTAGCCAGTTAATTTAAATTAGTATTAGATTTTATTAAATTGTACTTACTTGTAAAATAAGCCATTTCATCTGAGGGGCCTCCTTTGTGTACCCATTGAAAGAAGTAATTCCAAAGGTAACACAGCACAAATTCTGTAGTGATTTCCCTAGGCAGTGATTTTCCTATTTAGTTCTAACATGGCAGAACTTAACTACAAAATGTTTTATAATTCTTGGAAAAGAAGTGAAAAATTACTGAGCATTTGTAGGAATACATTTGAACTCCTAGTCTTGACTTTAAATTAGGCCACTCCTCTGTTACTGTAAATCTTTACCCTAAAGAAATGATAAATTTAGGATTTAGGGTATTTATAATGGTTATGTTTTGTCTTCCAGAAATCTTTAAATATCCAATTGTTTAGACATCTGTGAAGTGGCTACAGCAAAAGAAAGGATTTTACAGGATGCAATGTGAGCTCAGATTTTTCCCTAAGTCAAATAATGAGATATAAAGGTTGTCATCATCACCAAACTTAATGTTGCCAAACCAATGACCTATAAATCGTGTACTAATAAAATACTGTACCATTTAAAAAAGTATTCCCTCTACTTGTAAATTCAGAACAGTTTAAAATTTATAATTTACTGATACATAAATTTGGAGTAAAAATTATCTTTTGAGGTTAGTTTTTCATGCTACACCTGTTCCTAGTTTGAGATGCATTAAAAATGTGAGATACAACTTAGAGTTGAGTTTTACCTCCTATTAAATATGCTGCTCATTGTTTGTTGTCTCCTAAAATCATTTAATTAATAGAAAGCATTTAATAATTTCTTGCCTTGAATTTCTTAAAATGTTTCATAAACTTTTCTAAAGGAAAAATAGTTTCATTTTTAAAACACTACTAAAGTTGAACACTTTGGTAGAATTTTTAAATTCTTCATCAAATATTGTGCTTTAAGTCATCTTCATGTTTTCATATTGCTGCCTAATTAGTTTAAAACAATATTTTCATTAAGCACAGATATAACTTCACACATGTTGATTT